CAGACTTGAGTTCTTGATGACTGACTGTGTAAAGAATGATCTAAAAATAAAGAACAAGCAAGGTTTATAGTGGTTCGCCAGTGTTGGCTAGTTCACTCGAATGGAGTCTCTTACTTCAAGGAAGGAAACTTTATCTTATTGCCTGTGGAGAACGTGTCTATTACAGATTGCCATTTTCTGCTGAAGGTCTTTGATACTTATAAGATATTGGCAAGGTCATCCCTTATTAAATGAGATATTTCTTGGGTATTGCTAGACTGTTAGAGTAAATCTCTCATTGATTGTTGGGAATGCATTCCTCCTTGATTGTAGGAGTTTGTTTCTCCATGATCGCTGGGATAGCCCTCCTTCTTTGTTGCTAAGATAACACGACCTTCCTTTCCGAGAACCTATAGGGATAAAAAGATCCAGCTGGATAAACTGCGTACTCAAGTGACTCTTATTCATCGAGCTCGTTTATCGACTTGGGAGTCTGACAAGAGGTGGAGGTCAGGCCTTTTGACTCGCCAAAGGTCCTCATGGTCCCACGTCTATTTCTTGTGGTTCGTGTCTTAGCTATACCTTATACATATTAATATGGTATCATCATTACGATAAACGATATACTATTTTTGAAAAGCAATAAACTACATGAAAAATGTTTTTTAACAGCAAAAAAAGTCGTCGCTAAAAGTGAATAATTTACCGCTAAAAGTTTTATGCGACAAAAAAACTTGGTCGCCAATTTGTCGTGGTAAGCTCGCCATTAAAAATTTTTGACGACCAATTAAAGTATCGCCGCTAAAGTAGATTATCAGTGACAAAAAACTTGGTCGCTTAACAATTCATCTACTTGTCACAAAAAAACCTTTGTCGCTAAAAAAAATTATATTATGGTCATATTTTTTTCTTTTTGGTAATGACATAATATTTGTCGTTGAAAATTAAGATACATTTTTTGCGACTAACATATTTTTGACGCCAAATAACAAATGAACAAATTTTATAAATGGGTAACACGACACAACTAATTTAATTCGTTTAATTTAAAAAAAATTATATCAACAAATTTTAATACTCCACTTTTTTTACTATCAGATGCACTTACTTTAAAAAAAAAAATTTCTAGTCAAATCTCACATAAAAATCAAACTTTAAGGCTAAAATAAAAGGCAAGATGTCATTGCCTTTTATAGGCAAGTCAACTCTTTCCATCTTATCTCATTTGTCGATGTGGGACAAAAACAAAAGACATTGATTTGTCTTACACATCGTAGAATGTCTTTTTTTTTTGCGACAATTTTTTTTACACATCGCAAAAAGTCATCGCAGTAAAATGTTTTTCTTGTAATGATATTTTGTGACCAAATATAAATTGTCATCAAACAAAAAAAAATTTAACTTTTTTTTCTACGACAAACAAGTATTGTCGTTAAGTATTATTATTTTTATTTTCTTATTTTTCGTTATTTGACAAAAATTTTGCGACCGAAAAGTTATTTTGGCGACAATTTTTTTTGTCACCCATAAAATTAGCTTTTAGCGCCAACATTGGCACCAACTTGTTTTAGGGGGAATATTTTTGCGAAGACTATTGGCGACGACTACAAAAAATGGACGTGAAAAATATCATAAAAATGTTTACCACGACAAACATTTGAAATTGTCGCCGAAAATCACTTTTTACATCAAATTTTATTGTTCGTCGCCAAAATTCGTCACTAAACAAATTTGTTGTAGTGATATGTCTTTTGATACACGTTTTGACAACCTTAATTTTGTAGTATATATTATGAAGATGATACTAAGATCAAAATTCATAGAGTTTATTAGTTTAAAGCCCAACAAGGACTATAATTGACTTGAGGAGTAGACACACTAACTACTCACAAGGATCCAGATCAGCCAAGGTTTACCCAACTGGCTCTTCCATAGTGGTTAGGATTGAAACTAGCTCTTCCATAGTCAAGCAAGCTCAGCTTAATTAAGGCATCTCAAACATAAGCACTGAGAAGGGCAGAAGGTGGAATTATCTCAACAGGGCTTGGCCAAAGATGACTCATCAATGCCATGTCCTCAGTTTCTAGAATGTCATGTCACACCTAGAGAATATAGTCTCTAACGACTAATATTCTCTAAAAAAATCCTAACAAATTAGGAGACTATTCCATGATTACTTGAAGACTACACTATTTTAAGGTGTATAAAGGCAAACCCTTGCTTCACAAAAAAACAGATGGAAAAATTGTATACACAAAAAGTTGTAATCGCCTTCTTTTCTCTGAGTAATACAAACCAAAGGAACAAAATACTTTATTAGAATGGATTAACCAAGTTCTTCAGCTTGATGAACCACTTAGTTTCTTTGCTCTTTCAATTACTGCTGACACACACACACACACACCCACCCTCCACTACAAACACAGCAGAGGAGCTCTTCAGCCCACTACCTCACGTTTCTCAGTTTCAAAGCACCATTAAAAGATATATTGTATCGATACATTCTAATACATTGAAAAAGATATTCGAACAATGAGGAGTCTAAAATTCTTAATCAAACTAGAAATTGAGAAAACATATAAAAATCGAGGATTAGCAACATTTTAATGAGATCAAAGAGGGTCTAAAAGGCTTTGATTTGGAGCCAAAAAAAACAAATACTACATAATTAGGGTTCATAGTTAATAAAGTACATGACATGAAAGATATGATGGAATGCGGGAGATCCCACCACTACTTTTTTAGTTCAATTAAATTCAAGGGTAGACCACCGACTTTAATAAAATAAAAAATGAATTTTGGGTCCCAAATAAACAAAAGGTGCGTGATTTATCCTTGACTAAAATTGATGGAAAACGTATTAGAAAATATTTCGATCAAGGGAAAGGACAAAGTAAAAAAAATAAAAAAATACGAATTTGTTCGAGTAAAATAAATTTAGAACACATTATATAGCAAATTTTTGGGCAATTATGTGTTATTAATTCGAAAATATTATTGGCTAACATTTCCCACTTTCAAACAAAAAAAAAAGTCAATAAAAGGATACAATTTAGATATGCAAAGTTGATCCTCGTTATTAGACACAAATCATTTTGTTATTGGTTAGAAAAAATGGTGTTGTTTTCTTGTGACCTTGGTCAGATAAAAATATTAATCGGTCAGCCCTATAGTACTTTCATTATGTGTCTTGTCCGTGGCTTCCAGAAGTAGTCAACCTTCATGGCTTCCAGAAATTGTCATCCTTAATGTCTTGATGAAAAGTTGTCAATAGGGTTTGTCATGTGATACCGAGTAATATGGTTCTAAACACTTTTTTTTTTTTTAAATCTTGGGAGGAAATAATAAGGTCATTTTTTGATATTATTTTGATTGGCAGAGACGTTTTTGTAACGTTCCAAAATTCACTTTAGAATGAATTAACTATTTATCCAGCATTTAAGCATAAAAATATATTAAAATATCATTAAATAAATAAAATCATTCATCACCCAACATCTGATTAGATAAATTCCCAAAGAAAATATAAATAAATCTTTAACATAAGTAAATCGTCAAATATAAACTCTAAAAACTAAAATTCATTCTCAAACTTTCACAGTTGGATTCACATCATGATCCCCCTCAACATTTCAATCTATCGGTTCATCTACCTCTGGATCCTCCTCAACAATAAAATCTAAAAAATGTTATAGTCAGGTAAGCAATAAACCCCAGTAGAAAAACTCAAACAAAGTTTAGAAATCATGAAAACAAGTAAGTCATAGTTTTTACAATCATAAAATGAATTTAGATACATATGAAAAAGAAATCTTTATGGATAGTTGGATGACGATTGGAAGAATGTAATTTGAGAAAATTAATGTCGATACCTATGCAGATTGAATTGGATATGAATTGAGAAACTTTAAGCAATTTTTGGGGTGATAGACTAAGGTTATCCTACCGATTAACAAATCGTTATTATGTCGGAGATTATGAATAATTGTTAAGGTAGTGTCAAATTCTTTTTTGTCCAATCGTCTTCAAAATAGATTTTAATTTTAGAATACTTTCAAACTTCTAATACACCTCATATAACATTTTCTAAGGTTTTTCGACCTTTCAGATTCAATGAAAATTTAATTTTGACCTAAAAATATTTATAAAATTACTTAACTACCCTTCTCAAACTTAAATATCATAATTAATCTTTCAACAATGATTATAAGATTCTACCGTCATTTTATTCATCTCATGAGAATTTTTAAGATAATATTATTCTTATTTAATTTTAATACGGGTGTAATTGTTTTCCCTAATCCACACATTAGATATGGAATATAGCTCATAACTCGTTCAAAGGCTGCCTGAGTTGTACTCTCGAAAGAGTTATTCAAGATTTGGCTATTTTTTGAGATGTTAACTTTAGAGTAAACATCTCATTACTTTACCTTCTGGAGGAAAAAAAAACATTTCTCATGATCTCTTCCACATTGCTTGGTGAGTCATTTAGATGTTCGTAGAAGTTTTGTCATTGAGCTCAAGACAAAATTAGGACGTTTGTTAAATTTCTAATTACCGGCATGTTAATAAGGTCTGGTTCTGTGGAATATGATACAATAAAATCGAACTTGGATTCAAACAACAGGTTAAAAATACCCATAAAAAGATGATTAATCAAATTCAGATGAAAATCTGATAGGCCAATACTGGTGAGGAGTAAAAACTCATGTATTTGAGAAAGAGGGATGTTAGGAGCAATGAAGTGTGATATGCCAGATGCTGAGACTTTAACCGCCGTAATGTTTTTTGTTATACATCGATATTAACTATTACAAGTTTCGAATAACACATCCATAACAGAGAAGAAAGGGCGCACTAGAATCCCTAAGGGGGGGGGGGGGGGGGGACATAAACGATTTTGCCTGTGGCAGAAATGGACTCTTTTACCTCTTCATTAACAAAATTTTGAGAGAATCGAGTTTATCATATAATTAAGTATGCAGTTAGAAATAAAGGTTATTATAGAAAAGTGCAATCAATACTTCTCATTCTATATATAATTGTCAAAATATATTATTACGGAATTACATAATCTCCCAACAAATCATTACTGCATATTGGCTGCTATGAAAGTTAAAAATAAAGACAGAAATTTTATTGGCAGTTACATGGTTATCCCTTATGTCAATCTTCTAGATTGAAGGAAATTCTTGCTCTTGGGTTCACAAGATGAAATATATTTGAGAAAAGTGGCAAAGTCTGTGTCCTTGTAAAGTCTTGGATTGGCTTCATTGATGAGTTTGGGTGATGGCTTAACAATGGTCTCCACAGGCAGACTATGCAGTGAGGCCACGGAGATTCGAGAGTTTGAAGAATTCACAAGAACCCTATGGAGAACACTCTTGTACCTCCCATTGCTGAATATCTGCCAAACAAAATTCACAAGAGAGGAACAATTTGAGTCACTTAATAAAAGAATTAATGGTAGATCTATAGAAAATTATATATATGTGTTCAATATTCTTATTGGGACTGCAAAGTCAATATATATGTTTAATATTCTTACCTTATGGTGGTTTGTTTGGTTGACAGAGAATGTGGTCATAATCCTAGGATCTTAGATTCACAAGCTATATATTATATGTGCCAACTTAAACATAACAGAAACACAAACACAACCAGAATATAACTCAAACCCAAATTAGATGATTTGCAAATGATTTATTAATCTTAAAATCAATTCAGTGCAAGTGATTTACTAACCTCAAGATGGTCACCAACATTCACAACAAAAGAGTTTGGAATGGGCTCAACAGTAACCCACTTTTCTTCGTGCTGTATCTGGAGTCCCCTCACTTCATCTTGAAGGAGAAGTGTGAGCAAACCATAGTCCGAGTGAGGTGGCATGCCAAGGGTTAGGTCAGGCTCTGGGCATGAAGGGTAACAGTTCACAACCATGAGTTGGCTTCCATCTTCAAATTCTTTTAAACTGTCACTCTCTTCCTTGGTGGCTCCCACCAACCCTAGGCTCTCTAGGATAGCCTCCATCAGCATTAGATACAAGCCTTTAGTTTCCTTTGAGTAGTTAACTGCCGCCAGCCTGTAAAATATTCAAAAAAAAACAAAAGATTATAATTTTAAAATTTGAAATATTTATAAACACAATTGAGGTACCTAATTGAAGATGAACATGTAAACCAAAGTGTATATGTGAACTATGAAGAGAAAACTCTTTAGAAGTATGTAGGTTGTGCCTAATCCGGAAAAGGAGTTTAACTTTACTTAAATAATATATCAAGTGATATAGTCTTAATGAAGAAAATTTATCGATATAGTTAAAAGAATTGTATTAGACTATAACAATTGGTACATTATTAAGCCCGTATATTAGATAAATCTTTTAGTTTCCAATGGTATTATTGAGTAGTTGATATCTACTTTGTCGGATTGTGAAAAAAGTTTTTTTTTTGGGCTATCTAGCTTTATTTTCTTGATCTCTCTCCTATGATTTTACCACTGTGTCGTGTCCGGTTAAAAACAAATCATTAACGTTGAGAATAGGGTATTTATAAGGGATAAACCAACGTAAGCGGACATGCCTTAGTATGCTATATATATCCAATTTCTTCTATCACATATTTTTGTTTATATAATGAATTAAACTAAGTCACATTATTCAAAAACTATTTGACGTTTACAGTCACATTAAGCTGAGCTCATAGAGTTGAGGAATACATACAAACATATATATAAATATACAATACAAATAAATTATATTATATTATATCATATTATTTGTATACGCATGTGTTAAAATTATTTTTCTGGAGTTTCAATTTTCTCACCTCAAGTCCACAGGGGAAGATGGCCAAAAGGAAAGAACTTCTGATACGGGGTTGCAGCTTAGCTTTAAGAAGTCCCTCCAACAAAACACTCCATCTTTGTTTTGGTTAAAGCTTGTGCCATACCGGACAGGTGAATACATATCTGCTGTCATAAATTTTGCTCTCTCATCAAAAGGAAGCTCAAAAAATCTTCTACCCACATCTATCATCTTAACTATGGCATCATTTGCAATGCCATGGTTTACCAACTGCACGACACAAATAATAAATGGGATAAACTTAGTGAGAAAGTTGAATAACGCGTTTATCAAGTGTTATAAAAAGAAAATAATGTATAATTTTTTTTTTATTTTTACGGCATTGACACGATATGATTCGATTGATACTGACTAATATTATGTTATGATTCTTTATCTCTTTCTCTTTCTCTCCTCTACTATTTTTTTTTTTTTTTTGATTTTTATGGTTTAAGTGATCAAATAGGACTACTTCATGAAAATGGTAATCTTGTGAAAAGCTCAAAGAGCATCAGCAAAAACTTAGACCTTAAAATTAACCCACCTGAAAAAACCCATATTCTTCACAAGCTTTGGCGAGGGAATTAAGAACTTGGTATCTATTGGGGCCTTGCAGCTGAGAGAAATCGATAATGGGCAAGTTGATACTCAAGTTTTCGGCATTTTGATCACCCTTGAATGAATTAGGTCTGTCCGAAATGGGCAAGATGTACTTTCTTGGAACTTTTGTAATCCCACTGTCACATAAATGTCTCACTCCCTTTTGGTATCGGCTTTCTAGCTGCACTTCATCTTCCCTGTTGGTATCCACTGCAAAACTCATTCCAGGCGACATGGAAACAAACTATATATTTAAGAGGGTGGGATATTTTTAAGAGAGAGACAGCGGGATGGACAAAAACAAAGAACTCGAGCACAAGTGAGAAGAAAAAGTTGAATCAAGACCGCAGACTACCACACATGGGTTGATGATCGATTCAAGAGGAGAGAGAGAGAGGAACTAATGGGGGTGAGTAAGAATATGGGAATAAGGGAAGTATTTATAGGAGAAAAACAATGGGGGAGAAGCAGTGGCAAGTTTTACAGAACACACGGTATGGTCTTTGCATGCAGCGGAAACCATTGACTTGGTAAAGTCAGAGCACCAGGCGGTGGTGACCGGGTAAGATTGCAAGTATCCTCATGGCCCCATGGCTAGACATTTTCAAATCTCTCTCTCTCTCTATCTCTCTCTCTCTCACACACACTGACAACACACAATGTGATGCTAAGTGTTTCCTCTTCCTTTTAACTGTTTTGTTTTGATTTTTGCAAGATTAACTATATAAGTAATGTTACGTAAATTTAAAAATTAAATTTGATAATTATAATTAGATGTGATAATTTTAACTCATTATCTATTAATCTGCCCAACCCGTCAATAAATAAATTAATTTGGTATCTATACAAATTAATATGAGTTCTAAATAGATTGGGTAATATAATTTATTTTAATTAAGCATATTAATATGGATTATAAATGGACATTCATTGAGTTGAGTATTTATCTTTTTATTAAATAACACAAGTAATAAATATATTAATATACCAAAAAATACACTCAAACACATTAATGGACTAAAATATACACACACTAGTATACTAAAAACACACAACTAATACACCACCCATAATCCATGGGTCGGTCCACAACCCATGGGTCAACCCAAAGGTTGACTCGTGTCCACACAAACTCATAGTTGACCCATAACCATGGGTCAACCCATGACCCAACTCATTGCCCATAATTGACCCTGACCCATTATGTGTGTATTTTTTTTATTAAATGTGTTTTATTTTTTGTGTTAGTATATGTGTATTTTTTGGTGTATTAGTGTTTATTTTAGTTTATTAGTGTGTATATTTTTAGTGTATTAGTTTTTGTGTGTTTTGGTGTATTAGTGTGTGTGTATGTTTGTATTTTGGTGTACTACTAATGTATGTGTGTGTATTTTGGTGTACTAATGTGTCTATTAAGAATTTTAATTATTTTATGGGTTAATCGGTTTATTCCAATCCGTTATAAACATAACCTATTATAACTCATTTATTACGTGAGTGAAAAATGGATTAGATTTATTTTAGTCAAATCCAATTTATCCCAACCCATAACCAACCCAACCCACTTATTGGTCACTTCTAATTATAATCATTGATTTCACTGTATGTCTCAATATTTATTGGGACTCACTACTTATTCAATGATTGAGATTGTCAAGTCAAATTTTTATTTCTAGTTTTTAAATCTATCTAACATTCCTCTTTAAGAATTTAGGAAGGAAAATTGACGGGAAAAGAAGCCGCCCAAAGTGAATCCCCTCCAGAATTTGCTAGTGGTTCTTATAATTAATTATATAGGGTTCTTTATTTTTTCTTTCCGTGTAGGGTCAATCTGTAGCCAATTGTAAATTTGGATGTATCTGGATTGATTCTAGCAGATGTCTCTTAGGTTTAACTAATGGCAGTGATTAGCTGTTGAACAAGTTTCTCCTCCCGAGAAAAGAGTAAATATTCATTACAACCGTGATGTTATATCATCGGTGCTATATTGTATCATCGGCCACTAAGAATACACCATATTCCAAAGTATTAATTAGTTGGTCGAGTGATTATTAGAAGTTACTAAAATAATGAGATCTACAATGGTGTATACATATTGGTTGATAATACCATGTACAACCAGTTGCATGGATAATGAATATTTTCCCTTGAAAAAACCTTTTCTTGGTTTCACTTTCAGGATTATTCCCTAATACTGGTTTAAGTGATTATCCTTTTCGATTCATGTAGACTTAATGCTACAGAGAAAAATAGAGCACTAAAACCAGACACCTAATCAAAGCATATCTATGCAAAAAAAAAAAGAGATCATTGGATCAGTGGGTCTTATTTAAAAAATTTGATGAGACTCACTCATCTAATGGTCCCTTCATTCGAGATACAAATTTATGTTGCAAATTTAGTTACATAGTATTTCTCAAAAAAGTTTGTTTGATTTTGCTTAGCCATTCACGTGTGAAATTGATTGCCGACTGTCCCCATGAAGATGAATGGATATGAGCAAACACCATTCTGAGGGCGGCTCAAGCCACTGTGAAGTCTAAAGTAGAAATATTAAATAGATGTTTTTTTATTTTTAATATTATTTTTAATTTTTTGTGTAAGAGAGAGACAAAAAAAGATGTATTAATATTATAGAAAAAGAACATCATACAAATTATTTTTGTCTTTCATAGTGGTCCCCTTATTTGCGACTACTTCGACCATTTTCAAGTATCTCACAATATTTTTAAAGTATCTGAACAGTCTATCATTTTTGTATGATTTCTTGTATATTACCCCTTTCTCTGGGTTTTGAAAATAAAAATCCATTACTGTGCCTACATGACAAGTCAAATACCCAATGGAGGGAGTTTGAAAAAAAAAAAAAAAAATCCAATGGACTATTTATACCTAATGTATTAAAATCAGTTGTATTAAGGAATTCAACCCTATGTATATGGTGATCAGAATTACATAAGATGAAGATAAATATCACTCATGTCAGGCCCACACTACATATATATTGATGAATCTAGTTGAATTCTATAGTACCTCTAATAATTTTCGATATTATATTGAAGTTATCTGCCACCACATTATTATATTATCAGTCTTTTCTAGTTTTCATGGTACCTACCAGCCAACTCAGGAGCATTACTGATTATGTTATACTGGCACTTTTCCAAAACTAGAATCCATACAAGTTCAATTCCAATGGTGTAAACTCATTATGGGATGCCAGCTTTTTAGTTGGAAAAAGAACACATTTTGCTTACTCCGAGAAATTAAAAATATGTTTTTGAGGAAACAAAAGTCCATAGACAGACAACAAAATTACAATATTCTTCCCAAAAAAGGTGGGTTTGGTAATGTGGTTTGGTGACACTTACAATACACATGGCACAGTATTGAACATAAGGCTAGATTCATTTTAAGATTAACAGTGACAGACCACTTTTCATATTGTATAGTAGTGCATATTCTTAAAAAGGATAAGAGCATCTAAGCTCAGAGGTTTATACAAACTTGTTTATACTAACAATTAATGTAACAACTCTGGTATATTGATTTTGCTGGGCAACTTTACTATGTTCTTAGTAAGCAATGCAAATCAATCGGTATAAAGGCGTTCCAATCATGCACCATTTGAACTCATGGCTGCAACATGATCCAAACATGCAACTCGACCAGCTTGTATTGCTCTTGTCATATTTATTTTGGTAATATGCAATGTAAAAGTAACCCAAAATCCGTCCCCCAGTGTCGGACAGTTACAGGAACCAAGCAGTTCGAGTTTAGTCAAGTTCTGTGGGTGTGTGTACTTTGATTTACTCAAGCCTGAATACAAATTCAAGATTGCAATATAAAAAAGTCTGAGTTGAGTCAAACAGAGTAAGAGATTGAGTCAAGCTTGAGCAGGAATACAAGCTTGGCAACCAATCTTGAACCAAACTTAAACCAATGACAGTACTCCACTTTATGCTTTGCTCAGCTCGAGTAATACCCTGCCCAAGTAATTTTCTTGTATCCTTGTGTTCATATCTAAACTGATTTTCTGTCATCTTTTCATGCACTTTTTGGGTTTGATCATGCATTTTATATTAATTGTATTGCTATATTTACTGTCTGAAAGTTTAGTTTGCTTAAACAAAAAATTGGAGTCTTAACCTGCCCATCTCATGTTTTCACTAGCTAATTTTGAGTCTCAGAACTAGCTGACAATGACATGTATGTTGTAATGCATGATCTAGGAGGCCAAGAGATTCCTTGGGCTTAATGCCAAGATGGATAAGATAAGGTGAAGGAAGGTGAACTTAGGATATACCTAGTTCAACATTTCTATGAAAATTAATAGATTATTTTATGGGCGAGTCCTTGTGATGAGTTAAATTGTTGATGGATAAAAGACAATATTTTGATGACAAGATGTTACGGTGAATAGGTGGCATTCACATGTTTTACGATGCAATGGATTGTTCTTTACAACCTAGCAAAAAAGTAAAAAATTAAATTAAATTAAAATTAAAAAAAATGGTTTAAAAAGAGAGAGAGAGACTTAAATAGTGAGACAATTTTTCGCCCAAGTTACCGGCTGATTCTGTGATTCAAACGCACAAATATTTTCAAAATTAACAAAAAGAGAAAGGATACAAACCACCTGTTAAACATGAATGTCGTACGTAGGACCTCTGTCACTCTATCATACACACAAAAGTCAAATACCCTACCAATTATATAAAAGATAATGTGGTTAGGGTTATGGAGTAGTGGGGATGCCCTATGCCTAGCTGGTCCACTGTGTTTGCTCTCGTGAGAGCGGTTTGTCCCTTGTTCTCAATTCATTGCATGGGTCTGGACACTCAACATTTTATATCAATTTTCCTAACTCTCGTCACCCCCTCCGCCCAATCTGATGGTTTTCATCATTTTTTTTCTTATTGATTTTAAAATATTTATTTTTTTGTATGAAAATACGCACGTATGCAGGAGTTGGTGATTATGTACAAGTACATATAATTGTTGTATTTTTCAATTAAATAAATTGGTGGGACATGTTTAATGTGGTATTGAAGAAGTTCAGATAGCCGCCGTGGTTTGGTTTGGTGGCAGTAATAATGGTGGGAGTGGTGGTGCAAATCAAATGGTAGTATGATACTAATAACTCTAAGGTGGTGTTTGGATGAAATGATTGAGGGGGATTACAGGGGGGATTGGATTAAAATTGTGAATAGATCCATTTATTCCTGGTTTGAATAATTTTTTGGCATGGGATTGATTGGAATTGGAATTCCTCGGGCCGTAGGTTTTGAAGCGTTCAATCCCCTCTACAAGCCATTGAACAATCCCTTCTGCTGTGGGGGATTCAAAATTGTGAAGTAGAATTGCA